CACCACCCCTCACCTGCTCTCCAGTGCTTCCACTCACGTGAGGCTCTGTTAGGTTCCGCCCCCACTCGGGGGAGGTGGGGAGAGCGAGGCAGGTCCCACCTATAAGAAAACGCGAATGGCCCGCGGCGCGGGACCAAGCCCGGACGCCCTGACTGTGATTGGTTGAGGTGGTTGCCATTCAGAAAGTTGCTATAGTATCCCGCCTCTTTCGTTCCCAGCAGGCTCTGCGTTGGGTAAGATGGCGGCGTCCAGGTGGCGTTCTTGAGGAGCTGGGATCGGTATGGCTTTAGCTTCGGGACCCGCAAGGCGGGCGCTGGCTGGCTCCGGGCATCTCGGCCTTGGGGGCTGCGGGGCCCCGAGACGCGGGGCGTACGAATGGGGCGTGCGCTCCACGAGGAAGCCCGAGCCTCCTCCCCTGGACAGGGTGTACGAGATTCCTGGACTGGAACCCATCACCTACGCGGGGAAGATGCATTTCATGCCCGGGCTGGCGCGGCCGATCTTCCCGCCCTGGGACCCTGGCTGGACGCACCCGAAGTTCCGCCGCTCGCCTCCGATTCACGAGCAGCCACTTTACAAGGAGCAGGCCTGCTACATCTTCCACCAGCGATGCCGCCTTCTCGAGGGTGAGGTCCCAGGATAGGCAGAAGGGGAGGACACTGTTCTGCCCAGCACTGACTGACCCCAGCTTTGGGCAGGACGTTGAAACTGGGTCTCGATTCTTCGTCTGCGTAATGGGGCCACGGCGATTCCCATCTTCAGCGAGTTGTCAGGATTAAGTGCGATGTAAAGGGCTATGTTGGTGTGCAAGAATAATGGGGAGTTTGAGGGTCAAGGTGAAGAGGCTTGGTTTCTAGGCCTAACCCTGCCTCTAACTCTGTGAGTGATTTTGGGCAAGTGGTTTGTCTTCCTGACTCCCTATTTCCTGAGGTGAACAGTTTCATCTAGGCGGTCTGCCTTGGCCGTTCCTGCTCTGACATCCCGGAGGTTAACTGCATTCAAGAAAGAGATGGAGAGAGATTGCAGTGGAAGGAGACTGCGGAAAGAGTGCTTAATCTCTAGGCCTATGCAGGATTGGCAAGTACAGTTCTGGTTTCCTAGGTCACTGCTCTTTGTCAAAGGTCAGAGGGGAGGTGTTTTCAAGGAAAGGATCTGGACCTGAAAATCTAGCAGTCTACTTCTGCTCCTCTGTCACAACCACTGAGGACATATCATAATGATTGAACCACAATCAGTCTACCTCTCTAGAACAGTACAAGGAGTTATTTTCCAGAGTCCATGAGGGTCTCCTTGTCTTGAAAGTCCCTTTCTCTGTTCTATTTTCCTTCCCCACCCAAATCAAGATGAAGATAGGGCAGGTCCTGAAAACTAATTAGAGAAATGAGAGCAGAATGTTCCAAGGGGCAATTACGAAAGAAACCTTGCAGGATTTGGGGGCTAAACCTGGGTTTGAAAAACCTTAAGTCTGGGGCCGGCAGGTGGCATGGTGATTGGGGCACTGGACTTCCACCTGGGTGACCAGTTTGAGTCTGGACCTGGCAGTTTGTACTTTCTCTCTCTCTTTCTAGGCCTCTGGTGAGCACATGTGCCCTGTAGAAAGTTAAATAATAAGTAAAATTAAATAAATAATTATTTTAAAAAGAGAAAAATCTTAAGGCAATTGGCCAGCCTCTAATTTTCCAGCCTTTAAGTACTTACGGTGTCCTCATGGGTTCTGTGAAGTGTCTCACAAGACTTGGAACCTTTAACTGACCCTGGTAATGGAATACCGAGTGGATGAATGCATTAGAGTATTTTAAAAGTTAAGATTACACCCCTTTGCCTAAGCTGAAAATGTATTCTATATCTTACACTTTCACCCCTCACAGAGAGGTTCTGCATAAAATTTGTAACAAAATTCTGCAAGATACAGGACTCAAAAAGCCAGCTGCCTTAATGGAGAGATTATGGACTTCAAGGATGGACTCAGGTTCTCTCCTCTCCGTCAGCCCTGTCACACACAAAGTGTGTGACTTACAGCAAGTTCCTTTGTCTCTCAGTTTCATCTTTCATTCTGTAAAATGCTGTGGAATTTGTAGGAAAAGCTTCTGGCACAGGATAGATGATTACATTCATTAAATGGCAGATCTAATTACTACATATGACTCATATACTGCTGAAC